TGCAACTAGTTTTTTTAATAGCATTACAGCATAGTACCAACCTAACGGTAATACATGGTGTTGGAGTCATGCAAGGAGGCGTGTCATCCACTCTTAATTTTGATAAATTACTTCTCACGAGAAACCGAAACTATATAAAGTTGCACTCCGTACTTAATAGTTAGTTATCTTGGGTATAATGTGTTACAGAATTATTGACAAGATCATCAAATCATCTAATAAATAAAATCTATTTACATTTCCAGGAATTAGAACATTTTTGTATTCTACCAATTTAAAAATAAATAAATATTGGGTATCAAAAAAGGTCTAAGATTTTTAAAATGAGGTTTCAAATAAAGCGGCTTTAACACTGGCAGTTTTTCGTAAAAAAATGATAGATGCCATTTATGTTTATTTTTCTATTTCTTTTTTTATTTATTTAATGGCGACGTTACAGATTTTTCTTCTAAACCATCCATGTTTATTTTTACCTAAAGAGGTTTGACTACTTCGTTTTATATAAAAATTGGAAACTTAACTGGATTCTTCTATGCTGAATTTATGATGTCATTGCAAAATCGAATTAAAATTCCGTGAACGATATGGTTTACATTTCCATGTTACATTGATTACATGAGCTTTTAATACCAAGCTTTCACTGAATTATCAGTAGCTGCCAAACCGTTATTATCATTCCTTTTAAGTCAGAAACGTTCAATGAAACATTTAAGAAAGTGACAATAAACCATTATGTCACTTAAAAACCGCTGTTGATGCCAATTCAGTGCCATAAAGAGATGGCGACATAAACTCTTGGACCTCTTTAATTTAATCCCTATTATAATCATTAACGAAGCTACATGAACTATTATTCAATTAAATACTCATTGTTGATCTTTTCGTTACTTATTTTTTGTACCAATATTTTTACATGTCATTCTACGTACAAATACCTAAATCGTGGCTTATCAATATTATGCGGATTATAACTTTTTATGGTAATGTCAAATCATAATATAATATTACAGTTATAATCCGCGAATATATTGACCGTTGTGAACTCCGATTCGCGTAGGCTAAATAATAACCTTGTTTATACGATCAATCTCGATATGATGTGAGACTGACTCGCGCCATTTTTCTTGTTAAACCTACAGACACAACAGCACATCTACCTACCCAAACTGACATATTTCTGCAATGAAATATCAGGTGTATTACCTAACGATAAAGTTAAAAATAGGTTTTGGTAGTTTATAACTGTTTAGCTAGATTTGAAGCTGTCAATTCTGACGTGTTAACCGTTCGTGTGTGGTAGCCTTTACCTCTATTCTATCTTATTCAAATCTTAAATGAATAATAATAGTGTGTTATTAATCGTTTTATTATAATTTCTGAGTCACATCGTTCGTTAAATTCCATTTAATAATTTAGAAGCCGCTGTTTATACGTCGGATAAGATTAGGGTAGTTCTCAAAAAAGTGTCACAGTAACCTGTCAGGCGGTTTTTAGTGGATTCGAGTATTTTTTATTAGGGCTACTGGTCTTTTCTGCACAAAATTATACGTAAAGAGACTTTATACATAAAGGCCGAGTGAAAATGAGAAGTTTAGAGTAATACATTTAAGAAAAATGAAAATTGTAATGCCATTTTCTCAGTAACTTGTCGTGTCCAAACACGATGTGTCTGACTTTGAGTTCAAATAAAAAATTAATAACTTTCAATAAGCACTTAAATCAAATATAACACAATTGTTTATATGATTGATTTACCGTGATTTTAATTGTTGCACATAAATACATATAGTTCTTGAGATATTTATTCTCAAATTCTGTCCAGAGATTTTTTCTCCACAACCTGGCGTTGCATACTACTGACCATTACCCACTGACTATAACGTTAGCAACATTCTATTCCCGCGCAAAATGGGCCTACACTATCTGGCTAACTGTTGTCAAAGAAAGATGCGATCAGTGTGTGCTGTTTTTTTAGAAATTACATCAGGGTAGTTCTCAAAAAAGTGGCACAGTAACCTGTCAGCCAGTTTTTAATGGATAAAAGTATTTTTTATTAGGGCTACTGATCTTTTCTACACTACATTGTATATAAAGAGACTTTATACATTAAGGCCGAGTGAAAATGAGAAGTTTAGAGTTAGAAATTAAAAATAAATAAATATTGTAATGTCATTTTCTCAGTAACTTGTCGTGTCCAAACACGATATGTCTGACTTTGAGGTGCAATAAAAAAATAATACCTTTTAATAAGCACTTAAATAAAATAAAACATAATTTGTTATATAATTGTTTTAACGTGATTTTAATTTTTGCACATAAATACATATAGTTCTTAAGATATTCATGCGTAACGTCTGTCCAGAGATTTTTTCTCCACAACCTGGCGTTGCACACTACTGATCATTACCCACAGACTATAACGTTAGCAACACTCTATCCCCACGCGAAATAAGCCGACAGTATCTGGCTAACTGTTGTCAAAGAAAGACGCGTTTAGTGTGTGCTGTTTTCTTGGAAAATACATCGATACATCGCAATCGGATTTTGTAACAGGTGTGTTGTCTATTATCTGACCTACTTTCTTTTGTTTGTATGTGAATTGCTTTGAAATGTTTTATGTTAAAATATGTCATTAGGTGCCTGGATATGATTCTATAAGAGTAACTTAAAACAACCTAACCGTTTTGTTGGTATCTAATGTTTACCTACATTTTCTCAGTAACCTGTGTGTCTTTACCCTGTTAAAAATGCACAGGTTAAAGAGATTGCTTACAGGTTAAAGATTTTTGACCCATTTTTTTAATACAAATTTATTTTACTCGTGACATTTAGGCATATTTACTTAGATATCAATACTTAATATCCTTATTGAAAATATATTTGAGTTTGTTGATGAGTTAGAGTGAAGTTTATCAGCCTTTGAATAAACTAGTTTTGATTTTTAATTTTCGAATAATTTATTATTACTATTACGGTTTTTTTACCTAGGTCCGCTATGTCCTTTGCTAGGTTACGGTTTAACCTATTTTTTTTCATTTTGTCAAAGGTAAAATGCCAAAAAATAAGAAGAGTGAAGATATTTTAGCGCGAAAACGAGAACTTGAAAGAAAGAGATATGAAAAAATTAAAAATAACCCAGAACTATACGCGAAATATAAGGAAAAAAACAAGAAAAAATATCAGAAACGAAAACTTGAAGGGAAAGTAGTCTCAATAAATAATTTAACACCAAGGGATCAAAAAATGTTAAGAAAAAAGTGGCGAGAAGATGCTAGACGGTCCTATCAACGTAAAAAAGAAGAAAAAGCGAGAATCCAGCGCTTCATTGAATGCAACAGTCCTCCTACCAGTCCAGATATCGAGAACATAAATATAAATAATATCAATGATCTTAGAGAACAACCATCAACTTCCGCGGTGCTTAATTATCAAAGTAAAAGAATAAACAGATCGCATTCTAGGTCTAGAGAAGTTAGTCCAGCTAACTCGCAAGGTTCTTCAGTAAATTCTGGAATTATATCACCCAATGCTCAAAAATTGGTTCGAAAATTGCGCTACAAAAAAGATAAAGAAATAGCATCCTTACGACTTAAATTACAATCAGTAATAAAGTTAAATGATACTTATCGCAAAAAAATTTCGAGGATGAAACCTCTTCAAGAAATTCGTCAAGATAATGTTCGTTCGGTAAACTTATTTTCTAAACTCCAAAGTTCTCAAAATGCTAGCCATGATGATCCTATTGCTGAAGGCGTTTTACGTTCTTACAAGAGCGTAAAATCTTACAAAATGAAACAAATGATTTCTAATAGTCTTCAACCGCATCTTGAAACTTCGATTCACGCCACTAAATTTAAAAGTCAGTTCAAGAATTTGTTTAGAAGACGTAGTTTACCGCTTAAGAACATGTCAGTCTTGCAAAAGAAAAATGATATAAAAATATTTCTCTCAGCTGATGATAATAGTAGCTGTGCAGCAGGAAAGAAAGAATATGTTAAAAAAGATGGTGTTAAAGAACAGAAACGTTATTTGAATGATTCTCTTGGGAACCTTCATAAAAAATTTATGTCCTCTCATAGATACGCTGTCAGTTTTAGTACTTTTTGTCGATTTAGACCATTTTGGATTTTACCAGCCTCTAAACGACCTCGAGAAACATGTCTCTGTGTTATTCATGAAAATTTTAAGCTTTTTGTGTCTGCACTCCACAAATATAAAATAATTGAACCCAAAGATCCTACCAATTTACTTAAAACTATTTGTTGCTCCGAAAATAATGCTAAGTGCCTATTTCGTGATTGCCTGGAATGTAAAAATAAATCCATCAAATATTTGGAATATGACAGGGATATTGTTTTCTATTATTGGACCTGGAACTCAAAGACTGAAAATATAGTACAAAATGGATGTGATAAAGTAATAAGACTAGTTAAGAAGGAAAAAATAGCAAGTAACCCAAATATAGCCATTCAAAAGTTCGAAGAGATCATAGAGAAGTACATGAATCATTGTGGAAGAATGGTTAGTCAGCAAAAGGCAATAAAGGAAATTAAAGAACGGTTAAATTTTGACGAAGCTGTTATTCACATCGATTACTCGGAAAATTGGACGTAGTTAAACAGAAAGGACTCAATCCACAAAAAGTTACTTTTGAGATAATTGCGTTTAAAGTTTTAGCTGTAATTTCTCTAACAAAATGGAAAATATTTTAAAATATTTGCCCGTGGTTACTAAAAAGGTATCTTATACTTTATTTGACCGTCAACTGATTGTTAAATTTTGCTATAGATTTTGAAATAATTAGTAAAATGTGGATTGAGTCCTTACAAATAAACTTATGTTTGAAAGACTGATATCTTTTTTTTTATTTCTCAGAATGGACTCAAAACTACCCATTGACTAGAAAATAATTAAATAAAAAAATAAAACAAGTGTTATAATAAAAGAGTTGTATATTAAATTGAGCTTAATCATAAAGCCAACCTAATTACGTAAAAATGTCATCATAAACTTTAAAACAAAATAGAAAATACAGTTCAAAAGTTGATCAATTAACTGTCCTCCAGGTCGAAATCAAGGGATGGCCCGTATCCATCAACATACTCACTGGTACAGCTGTTTCCTTTAAGGCTATCGTAAAACTCGTGACAGTCTTCGGGTATTAAAGAATACATCGATCTGAGATCTTCGAGCTTTGCTTGAGGAATGGCTTTGCCCTGGGGCCAAAGAAGGTCAAAATCTTCTTCCGAAAATTGGATAGAAATCCCTTTGCTTTTTTTCGACACATCCAGGTTTTGAATTTCTCCACTCTCTAACGTCATCGTAATTAAATATGGATCTTCTTTTTTCAATAAAATTTGTTTGGTTTTCAACCAGTTTACTTTATTTTTATTTGTACATATTTTGCGGTTAACTATTTTTTTTTCAATGTGTTTTGTGCTTAAAAAATGTTGTTTATTCATTCTGATGACCTGAAGGGGATTTTTCTTTTTACAGATTTTCATGATATTCATGTATTCTTCTACGGTGTAAATGCGCTCATGATGCTTGAGCTCACATTCAATTTTGCTGAAGTCAGTGTCATTAGGCAAAAAAGAATGGCCGGATTCTAGATATTTGAAAGTTATCGTTTCAAGATTTGGGTGGCTATTGAGTACAGTTTTCAGCATCAGGATTATTTTAATATTTCTATTTTGTCCTCCGCAGCAATCGCTCCAAAGGACTAAATTCTCTACGCCATCTCTCATATCATTTTTTATGAAATTAATGAGGCACGAGCCAACTTCTTGGGCTCCTCGTCCGGCTTCACCTTCAACCCAGATGTTACATCGTCCTTGGTCGTTAGAGCCAACGTGAATCCCAGCATTGTATACCCAAAGCTGACGTTTGTAAAATACTATGTTAGTCGGTATTCGGGGTAATGGCAACGTTTTTTCGAGGTTGTAGGTAAGACATTCAAATTTGGGATCTGTTTTAGCCCGAGCCATGTCTTGAGACATTTGCTTACGTAATTCTTCCGCTCTCATTTGATGTAAATCTCTTTGTAGAATTAACTGTTCTTTTTCTTCTGGTACACAACACTTCTTGATCTCTAGGGCTAATAAATCACATTTCTTGCATGTATCTTTTTTTAACGGTTTACAACGGAGATTGAAATTCGTATAAAATATAAGCTTCAGGGTAGCAAAAGAGACGCATTTCTTCTCGCTGCCGTACACTTGTTTTAATTCTGCAAGGTAGATGTCGTAAATTTTTTGGATAGTCATACCAAGTTTTAAATATTGCGTGCCATTGTTTCGTTCTCTTCTGTAATGAGATTCGTATTTTGGGAGGGAATTAATGATATTTTTGACAAAATCGATGTCTTCTTCAGGAGTCTTGTTCCAACCACCTTGTTTTAAACCCCTTTTGTCGTTGAAAGTTTCATCTGTTCGCTTTTTGGTCAAACATGTGTCAACTCTTTTAGACGATATTTGAAAATTTTTCAAAAACATTTGCTTACAGACGACGTTTCCAGCAATATAGTAGTTTCTTCGATACTGTCGAGGTTTGCTTTTGCCGGTTTTGGTCTTAGTTAAAATATTATATGATCGAGCTTTTTCAGATTCTTTGACATTATTCAAAATAAATAACAGCTGAGCTTCATATGACCCCAATGTTACAAACCTATCAAACTCTTGTTTTCGTGTTTCTGTTGGAACAAGTAAATGACAAAGTTGCTTGCAAGTGCACGTATAATCATAGAATACTTTTGATTTTACTAGTTTGTCTTTGACATGATATGGTAAGTTCATGTATTTCCTACCCTTCTTCTCAGAGATACAATATTCTGGATGTTTTCTTTTGCGTCCACATTTGGAGCGGCCCTTAGTTTGCAATGTGTTATTATTTTCAGTAATAGGATGGGCGACTTCAGTATCAGAGCTTTGACAAATTGAAATTATTTCACCAACCGTTATGTCATCGTAAACGGCATTAGTAACAATTAATTGGTTTTCATCATCATGTCGCATTCGTGTGGTTCTGTCAGTTTTACTCTGATTATCGTGAACCATAGCAACATGAGTTTGAATCAAACCCTCTGTTATAGTTTCATTTTCCGAACTGTCACTCTCGGGAATTTCAACGCTCTTCCTTCTTTTTTGTTTTACAGATGAAGTCGAAGAATCAGTTTCTTCTCCACTGTCAGGTACATAATCAGATTCTGTATCATCGTCATAGTCTCCATCTTCTTTAAGGTCCATATACGCATGATCAACTGTAGACAAATCTTGACTGAGGGTTTCGAATAACTCTAATGTACTCGGTGACATTGGTGGTATTGGTGAGTTATTTTTTTCAGCTTCTTTCCGCGTAGCAAGAGGAGTTAGTGGAGAATATGCAGGAGCAGCTGGTGAGTCAAGACCTGATGAAACCAGTAGAATAGCGTATAAGAATCATAGCAGTCACCTTAGCTTCATGGTGGAGTTAAGAAAATTAAATAGGAATTAGTTTTTTGACTTACATGTTTCCGCTATGGTTTTGCGCAAAGTTACAAGTGGTGTCAATGGAGAGTACGGAGGGGCAGCTGGAGATTCAACATCTGGTTGGAAGATGAAAGTGGATAGTGAGGAATAAAAAGTAAGTTCATTTCCATGTTGTTCTGAGTGTGCATGTTGTGTGTATGTGTATATGCATATATGCACAACAAGTGAATTGTGGTAAACCCACCTGATTTCGTAATATCAGCCACTTTAGTTACAGCCGGAGTCGCTGAAGAGCGCAAAGAAATACTATTATCTTGAAATCCGGCATCTGAAAATGTAAAAAATATCATTAATCACTCAACTTTGCCATTCATTTAGGCCTTTAATTCATATCATAGTCAATTTTTCCAGATACCTTTGCAGGTGATGTCCTTGGACGCATCTGTTTCAAGTCCTGAAGAAGTCTCAGGTATATCTACAAATTGAGAGTTGTCATAGTAGAAATATTAAATTAGTAAATAGGGTTTTGGGTGCTCGTAGGCTAAGGCATACGTGTAAAGCTTAGTTGGTGCAATTTTGTTAGACATTAGTAGTTAAAAGGAATCAAACATAACAAACCAAAAAAAGGCGAAACTATAGCGTTTAGTACAGCAAAATACCACAACCATTATACCCTGTAGCCTTACAGTTGGATCATGCTATATTAATTCTGATTTTTTTTAATCATTAAAAAGTAATAAAATAATATGTTATCATATCATATCATATATCATACCGCAAACCACAGCAAAAAGGTGCATTAAGCTCACTAAGAGTGCAACAGACAATACAAATAGGACACTAGCAATTCTTACGCAGGTAGATTGTAAATAGTATTGACGGAAATACCCAGATAGGTAGGTAACTAAATTTACTCAGTATGTTGATTCATCGTCACGTCAGTTTACAGCTGGAAAAAATTAATAAAATCAACATTTTACTAGTTCTTAAACAAATTCAGTACCTATCTATAGTAAAATTTTATTTGTACTTCATAGTAAGTCTATGAAAAACAAAGTTATTTCTGCAAACAATAATAGGACCCATTAGATAGGGTACAAATCCTTATAAATATTAGTTAGCTATGTATAAAATACCTGTTGGAACTACGTCATCGTTTACAGATTCCAGCACAGTCTCCGCTGCAGAAATTTCTTCCAAGCCACTTTCTGTTCATTATAAAAAAAATATATATATTGGATTGTTATGATTACAATAAAATAATGGTAAGAAATCGTTACAGTTTCTTCTTTATGGCCATTACTTAAGTATTAATATATGCAATAACAAATTTTTGAGGTTAGAAATGAACCTTGTGAAAAATTAGGTACTTACCATCTAAAAACTCAGTACTTTCGTTAATCTTATGTCCCAAGGCACTAAACAAAATTCGATCAATTCGTCGCATTTTAATTCACTTCTTTTGTTTCATATACTTAAAATGAAATAAAACAAAACACGCGTCCACCAGCCCAAGGTGAGATAAAATGGCAGAGTTGCCAGTTTTTGAGAATAATAATTTACCAACAAAATGTTGCCACTATAAAAATCTTTGGAAAGTTGTGTTTACTCTTATTTTTAAGACATCAAAACAACGCATAACTAAATAATTTTATTTCAGACCATAGTTTCCGAACTCATTACACTACTTGGCCTGATTCACAAAAGGGAAATAGGTAGTTTGAGTCCTTCTAAATAAAATAGAAATTGATTTATTATTACATAAACTTTATACACAAATGTTTTAAGTCGTTTCAATTCAATCAAATGTATATGACTATCAGTCTAACATCTATTTCTTACTAACGACTTATTCTGCTTGAGTCATTTCTAAATTATTTGATATTAAATGCGCTGTTCATCAAAGCTCTTTTTCTGTAATATCTCAAGTGTTTTGAGTCGTTTCTGATAAACAAAAATATATATTTTATGTCAGTAAACCTGTATCACGGAAACGACCCAATCTGTTTGAGTCTTTTCAGTTATTTAGTAAAATGATATTTCTAATCAAAACTAATTCCTAGAAAGGATTCAAACTGTTTGAGTTTATTCTGTTTAATCGACCTTAGGAACACATTCATAGCAACTTCATTACTCAAAAACAATTCAAGCGGACTGAGTTATTTCAGCAAATGCATTTTGTATGCTCTTCATACTTGTGGGTTGAGTCATAGTAGTGAAAAAACTAGTTTGAATGTACATTTTAAAGCTAGGGTTTTCATTATATGATAGATTCGACCCTCGGGAGTACGATGGCATACTTAACTCAATTTTGGCCAAAGTGTGGATTGAGTCCTTTCTGCTTAACTACGTCCAATTATAAATGCGGTTACTCGAAAGAAATTCAATCCGCACACTTCGGTGCAAGCAAGCCACAAATTACCATACACACCAGTGTGCTTTATTTCTTTGATGTTAATAGAAAAAAACAAACACAATGTTTTGCCACTCTCAGTCCAAATCTGCGACATGACTCAGCAGCGGTATGGGCCCACATGGAACCGTTACTAGATTTCCTTAGAATACATTCCCCACAAGTAAAGACCTTTCATATTATTTCAGATTCTGCTGGCAGTCAATATCGAAATTATAAAATATACTTTGTTATCACAGCTTTGAAATGGAACTACCCTGACCTGAAATGTGTAACATGGAATTACTCTGAATCCGGCCACGGTAAAGGCGCTCCAGATGGAGTTGGGGCCGTATTAAAACGTACTGCTGATGCAAGTGTAAGTCATGGAAATGATGTACAGGATTTCGAATCTTTTACACAATTACTAAAAGACAAGTTGCAAAATATAAAAATCGATACTATTTTAGACTATAAGATCTTTGAAAAAATTTGCTTTTACCAAATACTTTACTGCCATTTAAAGGAACACAGAAAGTTCACCAAATTGTATGGAGTAATACAAAGCCAAAAATGGTAGTATTAAGAGAACTTAGTTGTACAAAAGAACCTGTTTAACTTACGCTGAATTCTGTAAACACGGTAAACATCTTGGTTTTCATAGAATTATTACAGAGGAAGTTATATCACCAGCAATATCCAGGTGCTCACGAAAAAGATCATCTGCTATGGCTACTACTCGAATTTCAGAAAATTGTTTTGACTCCGACGAAGATAGCTTTGTTGTCCCTGGTACTAATGTAGCAGATGATTTCATTCAACCAGAATTAGTAACAGTTCTTCATAGATCGACACCGTTTTCAGCTTTGTCTGAAATGGAATTACCTCCGGAACTCCAAAGAAGTACTTTAGATAACATATTAGATGAAGGGCCTGCGAACGTGACTATGTCTCCATTGAATTCTTTTAAGAATATTGAAGGTAATGATAGTGATTCAGACTACACTATTTTTTAACTATTTACTGTTTTCTATTTTGTATGTGATTGTTTAACATAAGGTGTTTATAAATCTGTTTGAAATAGAAGGAGTCATTGCATTCATCAATCTGAGCAACTGTTTCAATGTTATGTCTTTTTCCACATTACAGAGTCAGTCTCATAGAAAGGGTTGTTCAGAATAATACCTCCAATGCGGTTCATTTATTGCAAGTATTTTTTTGACAACTCCTATACTTCTTAATATTATAATATAACACGAAATAAATCTAAATATAAGCACCTAGTACTTTTAGAATTACTATTGATAGCTGATTTAAGACTGATTGGTATATAATTTTGTTATAAGACCATTTACCTTGTTTGTGATTGTTAAAAAGGATGTTTATAATAATGGTACCTAGATGTCTTTTTACGTTGTTTTTAAATAATAATTGTTAACTGTTTGAGACTGATTAAATTCTAATTTAGATTATGAGAATATAGTACAGCTATTCTATTTGTGTTTTTATTCGTAAATGTTTAATTCATTTGAGGAAGCTGTGATTTGTTACGTTTATAAAAACCGTTATTTTTGTTAGTTCATATAATATAATAAACGTTGATTTTGCATGATTACGTTGTTTTTTTTCTGTAACCTGTTTATTTCTATTTAACCTGGTATCGTTTTCTCAGTAATCTGGACAATACCTCTTTAACCTGTGAAGTCAATTTTTCAGAAGGCTCTATACGACTCAATTTCCAGTAAATCTGCTTCCCTTTCATTAATTCAGTTTCAGTAAAACACTGCCAATAGATTTTCATAAAAAAAACTCGACATTTGAAACATTTTTTGAAATTGACAAATTTAATCGATCTGAGCCACTTTTTTGAGAACGACCCATCAATACATCGCAATCGGATTTTGTAACAGGTATGTTGTCTATTGCCTGACCTATTTTTTTTTATTTGTATGTGAATTGCTTTAAAATGTTTTATGCTAAAATGTGTCATTAGGTGTCTGTAAACGAATCTATAAGTGTTACTTAAAACAAACTAACCGTTTGGTAGGTATCGAATATTAAACATCGTTTTCTAAGTAACTTGTATGTCTTTACCCTGTTGAAAATGCACAGGTTAAAGAGATTGCTAACAGGTTAAAGATATATTACCCATCTTTTATACAAATTCATTTTACTCATGAAATTCGGGTATAAATTACTTAGGTATCAGTACATAATATCCTTACTAGGATATTTACTTAATACTTAACTTACTTATTTGAGTTTATTGATGAGTTAAAGTGAATTTTATTACTCTTTGAATAAATCAATTTGGTTTTCCTTAAATTATTTAATAAATTAATATTGCTATTTCGGTTTTTTTTTTGTTAGCTAGACAAGGTTTAATCTTTTTTTTCATATTTTCAAAGGTAAAAGCCAAAAGATAAGAAGAAAGAAGATACTTTAGCGCAAAAAGACGACTTGAAAGAAAGGTATATGAAAATATAAAAAAATAATCCAGAACTATACACAAAATACAAGTAAAAAACTAATATAAGAAGCGAAAAAGTGAAGGAAAAGTGTGTTAAATTTTATTTACAAATACTTTTGTAAATAAATTAACACCAAGGGATAAAAAAATGTTAAGGAAAAAGGGGCGAGAAGATGCAAAATGGACCTATCAATGTAAAAAATAAGAAATAGCTAGTATCCATTGGATTTGATTTTGATTATTTTAATAAGCAATATATCAGTGATCTTAGAGAACAATAATCAGCTTCCGCGAAGCTTTTATCAAAGTAGAAGAATAACTATATAGAATTCTAGGTTTAAAGAATGGTTAAAATTTGACGAAGCTGTTATTCACGTCGATTACTTGAAAAATTATGATTGTGCTTACTCAATATCGAAGTCGTCGACGTAGACAATATTGAACTTATAAAAATATACTTTATCAAAGCTTTAAAATGGAGCTACCCTGAGCTGAAATGTGTAACATAGAATTACTCTGATGGTGATAGTAAAGGAGCTCCAGATGCAGTTGGAATTGTATTAAAACGTACTGCTGATTTAAGGGTGAGCCATGGAAATGATGTACATGATTTCGAAACTTTACACTATTTTGCAAAAGTTAAGTTGAAAATATAAAATCGATACTAATTTAGATTATAAGACCTTTAAACAAGTTTTGTTTTTACCGAATACTTTATTACCATTTAAAAAAACACAGAAACCACCAAATTGTATGGAGCAATGCAAAGAAATGGTAATGTTAAGACAGCTTAGTTGTACAAAATAAACCTGTTTAACTTACGCTAAATTCTGTAAACACGGTATAAATCTTGGTTTTCATCGAGTTATTACAGAGGAAATTATCTCACCAGCAATACCCAGATGCTTAAGAAAAAGACCATCTGCTATGACTTCCTTTCAAATTTTATACAATTGTTTCGACTCTGACGAAGATGGCATTGTTGCCTCTAGTAGAAATGTAGCAGATTATATAATTCCACCAGAATCAGTAAGTATTCTTCATAGATCGACATCATTTTCAGCTATTCCTGAAACGGAATTTCCTCCCCAACTCCAAAGAAGTACTTTAGATAAATCCGTTGCGTAGTTTTAAAGATAAGCATACATAGGGACAGACAGACAGCGGATAGCGACTTTGTTTTATACTATGTAGTGAAACCGTTATTTTTGTTAGTTTACATAATAAAATAAACGCAGGTTTCGCATGAATTGCATTATTTTTTTCTGTAACCTATCTATTTCTATTTAACATGGAACACACATAACATAACATCACGCCTTTTATCCCCGAAGGGGTAGGCAGAGGTGCACACAGAAGTCACACCCACTTTTCACTATTTATGTTATGAGTCCCATGTAATAGGGGGTGAGCCTATTGCCATATACCGGGCACATTTCCAGACTCCGTGCTACTGAGATTTTTTTACAACCCAGTAATACTTTGCCCGACACGGGAATCGAACCCGAGACCCCTTGGCCGGCAGTCGCAGTTGCGACCTCTCGGCCAACGAGGCAGCATGGAACACATTTCTCATTAACCTGTACAATACCTCTTTAACCTGTAAGGCCAATTTTTTGAAAGGCTCTATTTCACTCAATTTACAGTAAATCTGCTTCCCTTTCATTAATTCACTTTCAGTTAAACACTGTCAATACATTTATATAAAAAAAACTCGATATTTGAAACATTTTTTGAAATTGACAAATTTAATCGATCTGAGCCACTTTTTTGAGAACGACCCATTACGTCTTGATATAACGATATTAAATTCGAGTTATTATTAATGAATTTGTCATAATAATTTCTGCGGTCGCTTGTGGCATTAATGAGGTATATTTTAGAGTTTTGACAGGTACACTATATCTTAATAAATGTATGATTTATACGAGTGATATTGAGGCTTTATTAAATTGAATGCTATACTTACTTATCAAGTATCTACTGCTTTTAACTGTGCTTTTAACATTTCTTTTCCGTATGTTTTTGATTTTAAGTGCGGAAAAGCTATGCTTCGGCATGAATGGGGCGACTTGACCGGAGTGATACTACAGCCTCTCAGAAAACTGACGTGAATCAACGCTTGCGTTGTGTTTCGTCATGGTCCAATTACACCCTCCCTCCTCCCCAATCTCTCCAATCCCCAAATCAACAATCCTCAAAAGGCTGGTAACGCACTTGTAACGCCTCTGGCGGTTCAGGTGTCCATGGGCGACGCCGATGCTTACCATCCGGTGATCAGTGTCCTCATTTACCGGCTTATCAAAAAAAAAACGTATTGGAGATTTTATACATATTTATTCGTATTCTGTTACATGAAACATAAACTTTATACTGATCTATGTAATAAAAATAAAACCCGACTTTCTTCAGTAAGTTCTCCGTACAAATTACACGCTACCGATTAATAACGGTTGTCGTTAAACTGTCTCAATCGGCGGCCATTAAGCTCAGCATAATAACTGCTGTAGTCTATTATTTTTCACGTGTTGTACATTGCGCGTCGAGTACAGAATAATGGAGGCATTTTGTTGATAGTCGGAGCAATGTTCATTGTGCTTTAAAATGGTTTTGCGTGGACAAATTAACCTAATTAATAGCAATATCAGGTAAAATATGAGTTGATGCATTTATTTTATTTTAGTTTCAGACGTGGATTGTCCTTTTGCAAAGCAAAGGCTTAAGTTGATCTCGATCTGACTTTTCGTTAGTTATATCATAATTCACATTCCAAAGGATTCTTTCACATCTCTATAAAGTTCTAACTTTTTAAACTTTAAATTTTCCACAGTGTCTCATACTTCAATAGGTTTAGCAATTTAAGTAAAACCTAGTTTCAATGAACAAAGTTCCTAATAGAAACTAACCACGATTAATTTTCTACTTGATGCCCGATAGCATTCACTCCTGGCTGGTCCGCAGCCATCAATTGAATGAAAACTTTGAATTGATGGCACGTAATCTAGCAGAGATT